AAGAGCCGGGAGATCAACGCTCGACTAATAAGCCCGTGTTTCTGTAAACCGAGTAGCTGATGCTTCTGTAAAAACCTGGCTCAGCCCGCTCCTGTTGATCCGTATGTCTTCATGAGCATCAAGTGTAGTGTTTTCACATCAGGGTTTCGTTATGGCGACAGCGCTTGTGTCAGATCAGTCAGAAGAGCTCTCCGCTGGGATGTGTGCCTTGCTGCACGCTGGCGCTGACCGAGCAGGCTGCCAGGGACCAGCGCGTACCATCCTGGGCTGCAGACGATCCTGACGCCGGTACCAGGGCTGTGGGGAAAAGAAGCACTGGCGCAATGCATCCTACATACAGCGTGTCAGGTGCTGGTATGAGAGAAGCTGCGAGGCACAGTGTGATGGATGATGTCTTAGGAAGTGTTCCTTTGAGGCAGAAAAGATAGGAAGTTGGGTTTCTTTCCAAAGATTAGAAACTTAAGAAAGTTGCAGGAAAACAAGTGATGCGTTAGTGTTAGCTGAGGAGTAGGATGTCTAACACAAGCCCTAGCAATTTGCTTTGTAGTCTCTTTTCAGGTTCTCCAGAAGATGAGAGTAGATCCGCAGGGAGACATTTGAGTGTGAGAATGAGACTTGGGAGTATCTATTTGTCCAAACACTCTTTTGTTAATGAAGCATTTGCTTAGATGCTCAAACGTTTCTCAGCTCCTCTCTTACAAAGTTATTTGGAAGTATCTTTCTTAAACATATGTGCTTGATCTTGAAGAACGAAGCTTTTCCTTTTAATCTAGAGATTACTCCTACGTATGTTGATTTAACGTTGCTTTTATTTTTAGGGCAAACTGTGAAAAGCTCAGGACAACCAATCTTCAGCTGCCCTGATGCTATCATCTGCGGTGGAACCTCTCCTTGATTCTTCTGTGTCTGCCGTAACAGAGGAATCGTACACTGGACTGCCAGAGAGCATCTCCACCGAACTTATGGCTGTATCAGAGCCTCATGTTGGGTTAGATGCAAAATCCAATGTGTCGACACCTGCGCTAGCACACAGTGACAGTCTGTCAGCTGAGCATCATAGGACTTCTGGAGTAGAAAACTGTTGCCAGAAGACAGAGGGTTTGGATGATACGATCAAGGCAATTTCTTATGGGCCAGCAGAATCCCTTGCTGAAGAATTGCCAAAGGCTGAAGCTCTTGAGGAGGATGAAAAAGATAAAAAAAGAAACTTTAGGAAACAAGACTGTTCTAGTGATGGGTCCCAGAAAGAAGATGAAGAGCCACAAGATGCTGAGGAGTATCGTGCTGAACGCTGTGCTCTAACCCCTGGGGAAAGTTGGTCAAAACAAGTAAGCATATGCAAAAATTCATCCCGGCGGGATATTTTGAATTTAGGGTTAGAGTGACTAGCAGAGGACTTTTCCATGTGCTTTCCTGTTTCTTGTTTGTGGCTGCTGGCATGTGTGTCATTGTTTGGATTATCATGGTTCCAGTGACAAATTAGACTACAGTAGACCAACAGGATTTTAAAATATCAAGCTTTTCACTTTCTTTAATACTGTTGGAATGGTGTGAGGCAGGTATGTAACAAAATGAAGAACAAAACTGACTGGTGACTAAAAAGGAGAGAACCAACCTAAAAAGCTCCTTGCCCAGTATCCGTGTTTTGTGGATACAACATATTCGACCGGTACCGTCATCCCCAGTCAAGGTACTAACCACTAAATAAAAGTTATTTCAGTCTGGTAATAGTATTACAACGCTACAGAGGGCTCCAGTTTAGTATTTCAGTTTTTAATTTAAAAATAAAGATTATTCTTAATTTTCATAATTACTGTTTGTGATCAGAGAGGAAATCGCTGTTGGTTTCCTCTTTCAAAACAAGAGACTCCTATGGTCATGGCTTTTTTTTTTCCTCCCCTCCAGCAAACACTGATGATAAAAATGTTATTTCTAGGCAAAGGCTTGCTGGAAAATGTGCCAAAGAATACTCTATTAAAATCTGAAGAGTCAAAAACCTCTCTGTTTAAAAAGTGAGATTTTTAGTGACTTTCTTGATCTGTTTTCTTTAGTTTCTCAGTAGTTTTCACACCCACCAAAAGAACGTAGGGGAGAAAAAAAAAGTATCGTGACTGAACACATACCAGGCAGGATGTATCTGGATAAGGTGTATAGGTGCATGTTTTATACTAATTACTGGATGTTGCGTAATACTAAAGTACTTTGTGGTTTTAAGTCTGGATTTTGGTATCTGTTTGATTTATTTGAAAGATTGTGAAAATAAAGTTAATTCAATCTTTTGTTTTTCAACTTTCATGTATTTCAAATATGTAGGTAGCTTGGTTGTGGGGGTTTGGTTTGGTTTGGCTTGGCTTGGCTTGGGGGTTTTTTGCAAGTAGACCTAGGTCACCTCTTCCTGGGTTTATGAGTCTTTGAGCCAAGGGAAGGCATGGTAGAAGGCAGGTTCTAATAAAGATCAGAAAAAGCACGCCTCTGACCAGAGGTATACAATAATGGTGTGGGGATGCAGAGAGGCTTGGAAGCTGGATTAATCTTTTGATTCAAATTTGCAGCAATTTGCATTTTAAGCCACTCACATTTTAGCTGCTTGCGTTATAAGACTTCGTTGGTACTAAATAAGAATCTTTTCTGGATGCATCATTGTTTAATGGTGAGATGATAGGGATTGATAGGATCAGAAAGGAATGACAAGAGCTTGTGTGAACCACTTGCCATGCAAGGCTGCCTCTGTGCAAGGGCTGATACATTCTGAGTTTCTCAATGGTTTTCTTACTCGGAACTAACCTAACTGAGCAGGTACAGTCCCTGAAACATGCTAAACTTTTTAGAAAATCGATCAATCTCCACTGATATTTCTGTCTTGTTTCAGGAGGGCCCTCACTTAAACCAGCATGAGGTGAAGTCTTTGAGAACCTGTTGCACTGACATAGTGGGATCTCTGAAGAACACAGGTGTGTATTTTAGTTGTACATTCCTATCTACCCCTTGCTTCTCTCCCAGGTTACTTTTTGTTGATTTAAAATTGATGAGTGATTTACTTTGCTTTGCACTAGAAACTATTACCCTGCATAGCTAGAACAATATGAAAACTTAATCCTCTGCTTTTTCCTGACAGCATGTGCACTTTCCTGAAGACCTTTTATGTACAACACGTGTTTTAGTTACTTAATTCAAATACTTATTTACCCCAAAGCAGAAGGTGTTGTTAATAGCAGATGTTTTGCATTTCCTTATGTTTCAAAGCTGGATTATATGAGAGCAGAAATAGCAAAGATGGGGGGGGAGGGGGGAAGAGTCATTCATTTTCTAACGTTTTAAAAAATTAAAAGTGCAGAATCCAAAGAGAGAGGACAACCAAACTAATTCTTAATTTCGTTGTGATCTGTAATCTTCTGGCTCCAAATATTTTGGTCACTTTGCCTGCACCTAGTAATTATTTTCTTTCTCCCTCCATGCTCTCATAACCAAAACTTGTACTTCGTTGAAAAATGCCATCCAGTCTTGGTCCTTAATAGAAAATATGAAAAAGATCTGCGGAAGTCTAAGCTTTCATATTCAAAGTTTTGAATATGAAGATA